AATTGAGAAAGCGGCAGAGAGGATAGTGCCTGCTGATGATGCTAATTTTAGGGTGGAGAATGAGAAGTTGGGGGCTTCAGAGTTGAAACTGGAGAGTGGGCTTAAAGTTGGATTCTCGCTTGGAGGAACCAGTAAGCAGGTGATGGAAAAGAGAAGGGTGAGAATTCAAAATTGATTTTCGAGGAAGAGGAGGAGAATGAGAGGAAGGCGAGAGGGGAGAAGAGGAAAGCTGGTGGAAATGTGGGAAAGAATGAGAAGGAGAAGAAATCAGTGTCGGCATTGGAGGAGTTGATGAAGGAGGAAGAGAAGGCTAAGGAGAAGAATAATAGGAAGGACTACTGGTTATTTGAAGGTATAATCGTCAAGGTCATGAGTAAGGCTTTTGCTGAGAAAGGATACTACAAGCAGAAGGGTGTTGTGAAGAAAGTGATTGATAAATATGTTGGGGAGATTGAAATGCTCGATAGCAAGCACATTTTGAGAGTTGATCAAGAGGAGCTCGAGACTGTGATTCCACAAATTGGAGGGCTTGTCAAGATAGTGAATGGGGCTTATCGTGGGTCGACTGCTAAATTGTTGGATGTGGATATGGATAGATTTTGCGCAAAAGTGCAGATCGAGAAAGGTGTGTATGACGGAAGAGTGCTTAAGGCCATCGAATATGAGGATATATGCAAAGTTGCCCAATGAATTTTGTGGAGGGCTTGATAAATTGCTTTTCTTTATGAGGTTGCTGCACGGTTTTTGAGTTCTATCCCTGATTTAAAATGGATGTTTGGAGAAATCTCAAGGTGGAAAGAAACCAAGTTTGCACCTCATTAGCTTCCCACATATAGTCAAGCTTGTAACTACATGTGGGTTTAAAGTTACTGTCATTACATTTTGTATTAAAATGTGGAAGTGTCATGTTATTCTGAACTATTGATCGTCTTCTATTTGACTGCAAAGAAGACGAAGCAGCTGGACCTGACCTTGTATGGATTCAGCTTTGTATATATGCTCCTAGCAGCTTATAAGATATTGGAAAGGGAGA